TAAATAGATCATTCTAAAAATAGCTAACAATAGTAGTAGTATTAAAATGCAACAGCACTTTAGGTCACAGCTGCAGAGGTGGTGTAGCCTCTGGGTGGAGCAGGATGGGTCACAGCAGCAGAGGTGGTGTAGCCTCTGGGTGGAGCAGGATGGGTCACAGCAGCAGAGGTGGTGTAGCCTCTGGGTGGAGCAGGATGGGTCACAGCAGCAGAGGTGGTGTAGCCTCTGGGTAGTGCAGGACGGGTCACAGTAGCAGAGGTGGAGTAGCCTCTTGGTGGAGTTGGACGGGTCACAACTGCAGAGGTGGTGTAGCCTCTGGGTGGAGTAGGACAGGTCACAGCAGCAGAGGTGGAGTAGCCTCTGGGTGGAGTAGGACGGGTCACAGCAGCAGAGGTGGAGTAGCCTCTGGGTGGAGTAGGACGGGTCACAGCCGCAGCAGGAGGTCTAACGTCCAAATACCCAAATAACAAGATTTATCGACGGATTACTGTAGCTTGAACTGTAAGTGACAGCCAAGCCTTTCACAAAACATTCATTTTGTCTGAAAATGCAGAAATGTCTTTCAAAAGATTGACATTTCTGCGATATTGATATTTCAATTTGGACGATTTTGAAGGAGAAATTATTTTATTTTTGCCTGATAAATATTGTTTTGGTTTTTCCCAATAGGAAAAGTCTGGTGAAAGTATTTTCAGGCCACAACATGCTGTCTGCATCTTATTAGAAAATTATCTTTTGCATTCTAATAAGACAGAGCCCTGCAAGTCACTGTTTGACGCTTTGGGCTGAGTCGAGCTGATTGGCTGAGACAAGGTGATGTGACTAAGGCCAAAAATGCATGTGAAAACTAGTGGACCAAGTACTGTGATGGGAAACCCCTGGGAACACCAGATGCCACAGTGGGGCGGCTGCGGCTGTAAAGTGCCAAACTGTTGTTGTGTCCTTAGGCAAGACACTTCACACCCATTGCCTAGAATGAGTCTGGTGTGTGTGTGAATGGTTGGTGGTGGTCGGAGGGGCCAATGGCACATACTAGTCGCCTCGTCTGTGTCAGTGTGCCGCAGGCCAGCTGTGGCTACAGTAGTAGTTTATCACCACTTACTATAAAGTGAAAGAATAATGTGAAGCATCTTTGAGTGTCCTGAAAATAAGTGTTTTAGTTTCGCTTCAGATTACAAATTAGGTTAATTTAAGATGTGGATTATGTTGCTGATTAATTCAAAGATTATTGTTTCTTCCCAGAAACATTCTTTCAAACAATGACAATCATGAGTCAGGCCTACTATGTATTCACTTAAATTGCTGCTTCTCATTTGGGTTAAGCCCATTTTAAAACACTTTTGGCCTCATCTAGCCCTGATGAAGCTCTCTATTGTATCTGAGGTTGTATTTGATCGAAAAGTTTGAAAACTGCTGATTCTGAAATGAGTTTATAGAATAGAACTTCCCTGTACTGTTATTATGACTCCGTACTTGACTTTGTATCAGCCACTTTGATTAAACTCAAACATCAAATGAATCCAATCTCAGACAAAAGAAAGCCGCATCAAAGGGTGACACATGCGTGTACCGAGAATAATAATAGCGTCTTCGCACAGCTCTTTATGTAACATGCTCGGCATTCGACTGGAGAGAGAGGGGGCTGCACTCGGCATGTCAATACGACCATATCCAGAAATTGTGACACATTCAAACATTAATTCATTAAAGCTTCAAAAGATGGAACTACATATTTAGATTCATTAAGCTAGCTCCTCTCTGCAGAGCTAGCTTCTGTGGGTTACAGGACAAATTTATCTGCAAAACAAGTCAAGCACAGATGCATATTGACTCAGGTATTTTCAAAGGGCTTTACAAAGTTTTCAAAAGATACAATTTCGAATAATATGAAGACGTCATTCTTTGTTCACAAAATGCAGCTTTTGTCAGACCCCTACTGTGCATATTTTGTCTTGGTATTTATGAAGCAAACTTTCAGCAACTTTTGTTTGTGGAAATGAACAGATTAAAAACAAAAAAAAATACTTGTATATATCCCGCACCAGCAACATTTGAAAAGAAAGTAGCCAGGATAACAATAATCACCAGACTAAGAAGGAATGAATCCATATATTGAACTACATTTACAACTTAAAAATCATGGCTCCCATTGTCTGGAGATACCCTTTGTTGGTAAATGATTTCAAAACAATTTTCTCATATGATTCAGCTAAAAATCTATATATAAAAAAGCATATGAAGGAAAAGGTTTGATGCCTTCTGCACAGAGAAGTGGGACAGAGAGTGTGTGTGTGCGATTGTGTAGATGAGAGAGAAGCGTCTACATCAGGGGTGCTCTCACTTTTTCAGCATGCGAGTTACGTACTTATAAAATGTCAAAATGATCTACCTACTACAAAAATGCAAGACATATATTTATTTCTAAATATATTGGATTCTTTATATCTACAATGTATGTTGATGAACATGCAAAACCGCATGATTTAGGAAATAATTTGCATCCACACATATCCTGTGTTTTCAATGACATTCATAACATTCCAAACATGTGCGTCCTCTGACGTCCTGCGTTGGGGAAAAACCACAGAAGTGGGCGGAGCTTTGAAGCAGACGCCGGTACTTCTGTAGCGGCACTTATAGTCATAGTAGAAACTCAGGGTGAAGACATACTATTATAGATCCATGGTGAAGACATGTCTTTACAAGCATTGACCCCCGTCCTCAGCCCTGGTTTGATCCTGGTTTGATCCTGGTTTGATCCTGGTTTAGCTCCTGTTTTGGTTGTTTTCGAGCGCGAGTCCCGTGATCACTTTGCTGCTCTCTGATGTTGAGGATCTTTGCTGCTGTGAACCGCTGCAGCAGTGAACAGTTTTTAAGGCAGTAAGATCCTTGCTTCAGTGATCAGAGGTCGCACGTTTTGTTTGTTGTTGTTGTTTTGGGGGCATAGTGTGGCGTGCGAAAACGCAAAACTCTTATTATCTCTGTCTATGCGCAAATGCATAAACGGATATTTTTTTTCATGCGATCTACCAATACTACCTCTGCGATCGACTGGTAGATCGCGATTCACGTATTGAGCACCCCTGGTCTACATCGTCCAACCCCTTTTCCAAATGCATGGCTGTTTTTTGGATCTTTTTTATGTTTTATGCAAGATATATAAGTTTGAAATATAAATTTTACCACTAAAAATGTTTGGTACCCCAACTTAGAGTATATGGCCGTCAAGAGTAAAAAGAAATGAATCCCATCTGTCGCTATAAAAAAAAGGTAGCACATTTCAGTCTGCTTCCCACAAATGTATTCCCAATAAGAAAATAAACAGCCGATTTCTGCCCCGCCAATAACCTTCAAACTCAAATGAATCCAAACACTCCAGTGAGTTTTTAATCAAATGTTAGCCCTGGATCAGAAAGTTGTAACTGGAGTAATAATAACAGCGGTAATAAAGTGTGGCGTCTGGCTGTGAGGTTAATATCCAAGCTTTATACATTCAAAGCTGCGTCACTCGTTGTTTACATTATCCTTCACCGAGGTCAGGCGGCTTTTATGTGAAGCTATTAACAAGTTCATATTCAAAGTTTGTTTTGTCGGCGAGGCTTAAGCGAAACAAGAGAACGGTCATGATCTCCACTACGGTCTGATGATCCACGCTGCTGTAAAACAAGTCCATTCATCAAGCCATATTTTGGAAAAAGGCCCTTTCTAAATGCTGTGGTTTAAGATTCATATTTTAGTCGTCAATCAAATGCTGCTGGGAGTAGTTTGGACTCTGATTATTTTTGTTACATCCTATTTGATGTTGGCGTTTCTAATGTACCATATTTATGTTATAATATAATGGTTTCTCACATTTCTTTTGAGTGGTTCTTTGCCAATGAAGCAGGGTCCAAGGACAGTGATGATCCGGGACATTTATTTACATTTATGGACATTGGTTATCCCACTCTCTATGGAGTTTGTTGTTATTGCATTTCTTGTGTCTGAGCTGTTTGATTCTCCGGTTTGCTGTTTGATTGGCAACTTCGTACATTTCTTCCGAGATGACTGCTGTTGAGAAGAGCAAGTCTTGTTGTCAAACCAAGCAACAAAACAGACAGACAACACCTGGTGATTACAGTAAGAGATGAAGAGATTCTTTATTCGTCCCACAGTGGGTACATTTTTACTGGCCATAGAGGAGCAACAACCTACTGCACCTCCAACCTTCAACCAACTTTGAACAGAATCAAATTGTTTAAACTTAAACCCTGAATCTGATTACAGTCCCAGAGCTTGTGCTGAAACTGTAGTTGGACATGTTGTCAAGCATTGTTCATACATGTCCACTACATGTTATTCATTCACGTAATGCCCTTTTGAATGCGATGGAAGCGGCTGCAAGTCCTAAGTAGCTCTGAAACCGCTGTTGTTTTTGTTTTTCTTGCTTTTTTCTACCTGAGATGTTGCTGCAGTACAGTGTTCATGGTTTTACACTGGTCCAGACCGGAGCAGAGAGGATTCATGGTCTGAACCAAGCAGATCCGGCTAAAATCCACCGGAGGAATGCTAACTTTTTGAAAAATGAGGCAGTCAGCATTTTACTTTAGACTAGAGCAGAGAAAATGGTCTGAACCAAGCAGCTACTCCACCTTGTGACCCGTCCTGCTCCACCCAGAGGCTACTCCACCTCCACCTTTATCTGCTGCTGTGACCTGAAGGGCTGTTGCCTATTATTACTATTGTTAACGTTTTAGAATGAAACATTTTACTTTTTATTTTTGCTGCTACCGGACACGGGATTTTCTCCTACGAGGGATCAATAAAGTATCTATCTATCTACTTGCCGCGGACAGTGAAGTATTTCTTGAAGTCTCTGATCTGTGTTGGCGAATTCAACGGTTTTGTAAATTCCTCTGAAATAACTACTGTTGTGGTTTTAGGGCTATACAAGAATAATTTGCATTGAATTGAATTGAAGGCCCCACGCTCATCTGTCCTCTTCTTTTCTTCCATTCCAGGATCAGTCCGACATGAGCAAGAGCGACTACGACTGACGCGGCCACCGCCTGGACCCTGTTTATAGCACAGACAATTTTGTGTCCTATACATATTCAGTCTGTCTTGCCTGTGTCCAAATATCCACACTGTTCCATATTCATAGCAGCCATTTTTAAAGTGGCGCAGGCGGTAAAGCAGTCCACTCCAAATTTTCCACATTGAATCTTGGAATGTAGTGTCCAGTGTCCTTCGTCTCTAGAGGTCGCTATAGACTGCAATGCTTTGTGATCAGCAAAGTATCTGCAGAGAGCGATGCGGCCACGACCTGGACACTACACGAGGGAAAGAAAGCAGAAGAGATGTTACAAACTCAAAACTCGCAAATGTGAAACTTGCTAACGTTAGCTTGAGCTGCTTATAGTTTACAATCTCTGCCTTAAAGTTGGAAAGCCAGTCCGTTTTGACATTCAACGCTAGATCCATTCTCCATACAGAGTTGAATATCGGTCAGAAGTGGTCAAGATTTATAACAGAAATCCATAGTTTAGTAGACTGCTGTGTCTGTATTGTGAATTAACTGCCCAAGAGCCCCATTTTTAATATCATCTGTTCGGGGAATCCCTCTAGCCAATCCCTAGACCAGGGTGGATGTGAATTACAACCAGTTTTCATTTGCTGCACTTTTTGTTTTTTCATTCCATTCCGTGAAATGATACAGCAGTTTCTGGAGACCGAACGCCATTAGACGGGTCAACAGAGAGTCCTGGGAATGTTCTGGGAATAGTGTAGATGTAAAAAGGGGCGTCACTTTGTGTGGTGGGATTTCTTTTGTTCTTCTTAAACAGTCATTGGTGCCGGTGCATGTCACTTCCGGGGGTCACTCTATGGCAGGGTCCAAACTCTCTCACAGATTAATCAAAAATCTCAAAATCACTGGCATGGGTATCTTTTAAGTAAGATAAGGTTGTCTTGGGACAGGGGTTCACATACTTTACACCACAGTAGACATTAAACTTTGAACATCAAACAGACCAAAATAGACACAGACAAGAGCACCGTCACAGACCTCTAGTGTATTTCATCACCTGTTACTATTGCCGACCAGTTGTTTCAAAATATCTACCTCTAAAAGGGGGCGCTAGAGAGCAACAAGACTAAACTAAAACAACATTAATGAATGAATTGAATACAAATGTTAGACTAGACTAGAGAACATTTCTGTTAGCTGTAAATGATATGTGCTAGCTTATAGCTGTTAGCATTAGGGCAAAACAAATAAACAGAATGCTCTTTTGGGACAATATTCCTGTCATTCCAATATAAATATAAAATCATAATTATGCTCATCTAGATTAGATCCACAGGCCAGATGCTGTCCGCGCTGCAATCTTGAGATCTCTGATCCATTTGTGGAAAATTCTGTGAACTATAAATAGCATCGAAAAATATGCTTACGTTTATTTCATTAATTCATTCATTTCTATCACCAATGGCGATGGGGAGCAAACAGACGGCCTTGGTTTTCCAGCCAGGGCTTTAAAGCAGAGTGGGGTTAAGTGTCCTGCCCAGGGACACAACGTCAGCAGACTTCAGTTGGAGTGGGAATCGTGTGGACATCTGGACACAGCATTTTCGTCTCTCGTGCAGTGCTTGAAAAAGTATGCCCCACAACTATTAAGAGCTACAGCAATAACAATCCGCATTTAACCCTCTTTTTAACAAAGTTTTTGTATCGTTATTTTTTAACTCTGTGCTTTGAGACAATTCAACAAGACAGGTTTGTAGTACGCCTGCTTTTACATAATTTGTTACTTGCTTGCATACACTTTTAAACAAAATCTATTATTGATCTGAATTCTGAAAAAATCTTTATAAGAAGAAAATATATTTAGAAAAAAGTGAAATGGGCAATCATAAAGAATAAAACCCTCAGCACTTGTTCAACTCTCCCAAAAGATGATATATGAAAAGACGTATTGATTGTCTGTCACAATAGTAAGCGCCAACAACTTTTTTTGGGGAAAGTAGTTGGATTGGCCACGTGCTTTTATTGCTTTTTAAACTGCTTTTATGATTAACCTGTATCCTCGTACGGTACACAAGCTACCCGCTATAGCTAGCTCATATATCCCATGTAATCATTTGTCTACAGGGCTTTCGGTCGGAATTTCGTATGGAATCCCGTCGACATCAAAGAACACATATAAGGATGAAAAAAAGGACAATGGTTTTCAATCTCTCACTTGGTTACATCCAGAAGTACATATGAAAAACATGTATTGGGTGTATGTATTCCAGCCCTTATCCGTCATGGTTGAGTTATTTGTTGACTGTAGCATGCCTTTGCCGTGTTCTCCTCTTTTAGTTCCGCGCTATAGCCGGCTGTTTGTAAGTGTTCTACGTTGCTTTCTTTGCACAGTGTCTTTGTGGTTGTATTTCATAGCCCGGGGCAAATAAAATCGCACCAATTTTCAGCACAAGAGATGGTTGTACTGTTGTGTTTTTTTTACCTGATACCTAGATGGGCATTGCTAACCCGCTAGCTCAATGATTAGCCACAACGTTTTGTTCAAACTCACTCTGGCTCCTATTGACGTACATTGAGAAACTCCTCTTGCTCAGTAGACGTTTTTGTCACACTTACAATTTTGGAACCTTAAAAATCTATGCTTCAGCACTTGATATGAACCATGTAAGCATTGACCAATCAGACGTCTTCATTTGCTGTCTTGCAAGGGAAGTTCCAGTTTGCCTTAGCAACCATCTTAGCAACACATATGCCTCTGTTTAGCGTGAAGTTAAGGTCATCAGAACATGGATCTATTGAAATATCTGGATATTACTAGCTTAGTCTGCAGTAAAAATGTCAAAAATGTGAACCCTTTTTCTTTTTAAATCTTTATTTTCTTCAAATCCACACTTTAATGCTACAAACTCTGCTTGTTTGTCTCCCGCTCTAACTCTGCCGCTGCTGATTGGTCAAAACTTTTTCCAGTTTCTAGCTTAACCCCAGTAGGTGGACTGCATTAGCTTCATGCGTCACAGGCCACACAAGTTAGATTATAATTGTAATAACCTTGTATAACCTGCATATTACAGACTAACATTTTGAAGATATATTTAGTTTTGGGACTAATTCGACCAGCTCACATAATTTTCTACTTCAGATATTATTTCACATTTTTAAAAGGTGAAATGACAAAGTAAAACTAATTTCATGTTTCAGCCCTCATTATTAAAGGTTGAGTACTTATTCCAGTTAAATGTTATTCCTATATTCCCCAACAATTATCTTATACTGTGGACCTGCAGCTCAAAGCGATAGCCTCGAGTCCTCAGACATAACTGCTTCTCATTGTTATTCCCGTGGCCTTTGTGTCCAGAGTCCAGGGCTCACTCTTCTTGTATAATAGGTCCTGATTAAGATGCCATTATTAGTCTTTAGAGACAGAGTGAGTGCGATATCAGAGGCCTGTAGGCAGCACAAAGAAACTCAAAGAGCAAAGGCACCATGACATTATCAACTCGTGAGCCGCAACCTCCCAGGGACATGTTTAGCATCCTTCCGCATCCTCGTCCTCAGCCCACAGGGGGCGCTCTTGCTGCTTTCTCAAAGGACAAAACACAGTGCTGGATGGCTGCAGTTTATAAGGTAAGTTTATTCTAAATACTATTAATGCATTGTAGGTTTATTTTGATCCTTTAAGGAAACGTATTGTGAATGAACTTGTTTGAGCTTTTGACCATGTTACAACATTGTTCCCTCATCATTCACAGACCTCAGGTGGTTTTTAGATGCATCCACGCTAATATCAGGAGCAGTGACTGAGTTGTTAGCACTCTCGCTTCTCAGCAAGAAGATACAAGGTTCTGGTAATAAAACAAAAAATGTGTAGAAGCTAGAACTGCTTAAAGCTGCACTAACTCACTTTGTGAAATGTTCGAATGTGAGCGCTGGCCTCGCTCTTTCTGCTCGCCCTCCCTGTGCTTATGTGTTTATGGAGCTCACGTCTCACATTATGGATCGCACATTTGAACATGGATGGCGTGACCATAGAATGATAGAACCGGGAAGCGCAGAGGAACGAGACAGTAACCGGTAACGAAGACATGGGAAGCTTCAGGTTAGCCTTCCCCGCTTGCTTACCTCAGCTGTCTGTGCTAACGAGAGACCTGTAGATTTTTTTCAAGAAAGTGGGGGCCAGTGGTCCGCTGTGATTGGTCACAATCACAACATGAAACATGAATTACTTGGACATTTCTCAGTTGAATTACGTCTGTGTTTGCAGTCGGTACTTTTCAAATAAATCATTTTTCTAATGTTTCAAATTTGGAAAAAAATTAATTAGACGATACTATTCCACTTCCTCTGGTCGTAGAAAAGGGAGTTCCAGTTTTTTACACTTTTACACTCACTTGATTCACTCTATATTTCTAGTTGAGATTGTAATTTCTTATTTTAGAATGTGAAATACTAAGGAATATGTCTCAATATTCTTATATTTGTTGTTATTAGTCTAATCATATTGTCTTTGTGCCAACAGAAAGTGTCCTGTTTAAGATCAGATCCACAATAAGATCAGAAACTCTCTAGATGTGACAGAGGCCAATTTGGATAAACGTGAACAAAACTGAGAAAAAAATTCAGATCCAGTCATACTAGAGGGTTAGTGTGTGTTGTGTATATGTGATATATATGATGTGTGGTCTATAATTGTACAATACTTTTGTTTTAAAAGGCAGAAAACGGGTGTACTGAGTTTAGTTTGTCCAAATTGAGCATTTGGACATATGGGGCAGGGGGACGTGTTGGAGCAGATCCAGTTATTGATAGTATTATTGTGTAAACTCTAAAAACAACTCCAGTTCTTGCTGTTGTTGAGGGAACAATTTTGTAACATGGTTAAAGAGAGAAAAATACAAGACAGCCTCGGGCTCCAGCACCAGAGGGAGTCCCAGGGAGAAGCTGGTAGAATCATAGAGAGCATTTCCAGATGTTTTCAACCCGTATTTATTGATGTAATAATAAAATATCTTCTATCATTTGTTTGAAATA